TCACGCGGGGCACATGTGTACGTGTGCCCAAAATCCTGAGAGGAGACTGAGGAGAAAGGATTGCAGTGTGGCCACCACCCCTGGGGGGTGATTTCTCACTTTCTGTCTCTCTGTGTCTCTGGCAAGCGCACACACCCTATAGCAAAAATTCTCTCTAAAAAAAAGTCACTGAAAGCATAAACTGGTTTTGGTGGCACATCCTGAAATCTACAAATCCAGTTTACCGCTCACTCGTCTTGGTCTCTGTCCTCCTGCAGATGCTGGCCTGGCGGCCAGCCAGAGGTCAGGTGAGGGAGGGTACTGGGCGATCCACAGCTGCACGGGCACCCGCCCATGCAGCCACGGCTCTGCCACCAGGCGAGGCCGGGACAGGCACTAAGCGGGACACAAACGTGGGGTCCCTAGGGGAGCAGCAAGACCCTGCTGATTTCTGCAAAAAAGAGAGAGAAACAAAAGCCTGGAGAGACTGAAAAGGTAAAAAACACAGGCAGCCTTGACATTAGGAGCTCAGGCAATGACTGATATAAACATACACTTTTCCCAGGACCAGCAGTTAGCGTAATGGCTATGTCGCTGGACTCCCATGTAGTCAACTGTGGTTCGAATCCAGGACCCGGTGGCTTAAACTCATGCCGGGCGCGTGTGCGTGCGTGCCCAAGATCCCAAGAGGAGAATGGAGGAGAAGGGACTGCGGCGTGGCCATCCCCTCTGGGGGGGTGATTTCTCGCTTTCTGTCTCTCTGTCTCTCTCTCTCTCTGTCTGGCGAGCACACATGCCCTATAGCAAAAACCTCTCCAAAAAAAAAAAAAAAAAAAAAACACACACTTTTCCCTTCGTGAAAAACCTCAACTTGGTGAAAAATTCCTTCCAAAGAGAAGATTCAAAACAAGGGCCAATCTCTTCTCTCCTGCTTTAAAGTTAAGCTCAAGAATGATTGTGTTGAACTTCAAGTTCCTTTTTAAAGTAATTAGTATTATTATTCATGCATTCGATGGCTATACACCATTTAGACTGTAAAGAGACTACCCAGCATGATACACACCCCAGTCCAGCCCAGCTGGTGATACTACCCGTATCCTCATCAACAGAGAATAAGCCACTTCGAGTTCCAAGGGTGCAGGGTGACGCGGATGCTGTGACAGGCCAGGAGCGGCAGAGCACCTGGTGACAAACACCCTGTGAGGCCACCCTCCCTGTCTTCAGCACCCACACGCAGGCCTTTTACACTGGATTGAGGCAGCTGCTTCTGGCCAAAACAGGACCCTCCCCTCTTCCTCTCCAGGCCGAGCAAGCTCAGGGCATGGCTAGAGGCCCTCACAGACACATCTTTGAAAACCTCAGACCATCCCTTGATTTACTGACCACGACCCATACCTACTCCCACCTCGGGGTGCCTGACACTGCAAACTGGATGGAATCTAGAAGAGACACTCCCCTGCAGGCTGGGCTCACAGCAATCTCATCTAGAGTAGGTTCAACATTTCTGAAGGGGAGGGGAAAAGCTAACAATAAATAAATCATTTCCACCCAGGCCTCCTGTCAGTTGCTTTCACTGAAGATGAAGAAATGTAAAACACGCTGCTTTTAAATCAGGGCTCTCGTCACCTGACCTCCTACAAATGCGAGAATGCTCAAGTACCCTTAAAGGAGCTATTTAAGAGAGCTCAAGAACAAATACAGAATACCTTTTCTACTAGTATATCTAGATTTATGCTTTTCGTTCTTCCCAAATTGTTAAGTGTTCAGCACTCTAAACACTGTGTCCAAAACTGAAAACAGTGTCTATTTCAAGACTGCAACATTTTGTTTCCTTACTTTCTCCTCCTCTATACTCCTATAAAAGAGAAGTAAAATTCCAACCATTTATCCTTATTAAACTTCCCTTAGAGCTTTAGATAAAAGCACAGGATTTTTTCCACACTTTGAGTCATGCTCATCCCTCCTGTATGAATTCTCCTGCAGAGAAACAGACGGGATATTCTTTATTGCAAACCTGTACCATATGCTTGGAACAACAGCATTAGTTTAGCCCAATGGAGGGCCAGTGGCTCCCACATAACTCCACAGGTAGTCCAAAATAATCTGGTAGTAGAAGACCTGGGTTCTCGCTTGTTTACACACTTGCCAATTCTACCACTTCAGACGAGTATAGGCACTGTGAATCTCATTTCACTGCTATACAGATGAGAGAGACTTGATTAAGGTTGGCCCATAGCCTCGTTTAGAGGAGCCAGATTCCACATGGCCAAGTACTTTCAAATCCCAGCCCCAGCGGTTGGAAACGTACCAGGTATGTGTGCATCACACTACAAAATCCCAACTAAATGGAGAAATGGAGACGAGACTGAGCATCGTATTGGGAGGTGCTTTTTCTTGTCTCCCATGCTGTCTCCCCCTCTCTTTTTCGGCAAGTGCACACACACCCTGGCAATTAAAAAAAAAAAAAAATACCGATCATTTCCTCTATCTTCCCAGCAAGGCCAGGTCAAACAATGAATGTCATAGCACCACACAAATCCTGGATGGCTCAAACTCGAGGCTCTCGAACTTTCTCTCTTCCTCCCTTTCTCACTCCTCCTTCCTTGCTATATATATCAAGAGTCTCCCATCTAAATTAATTTGTCACTGATATTATGACAACAATAAGGTAACTCAGAAATGCTCTTAAGGTGCTTAAAATTTCAGGAAATTATACTTCTATCCATGCTAAGTGGCAGGAGAGAAACACAGACCCATGCCACACAAGTTGCAAGGAGGAAGAGTGCTCCTGCGTGGGGGATTGGGAAACGTCCTGGAGGAAGGGCCCGATGGGCAGGCCACTGAATGTGGACATGTGAAGAAAAGCACGCCAGAGTCTACCCAACAGCCACAAAGGCACAGGGAAAGAAAGGCATGGAGCATACACAGAAAGGCAGGATTGGCGTTGCCCAAAATCTAGAACTCCCCGAAAGGGAGCAGAAGAAAGGAAGCCAGAAAGGGAGACTGGAGCCAAGCCATGTCAGCTCTTGCCGCTAGACTTAAGTTTGCCCTTCGTACCATGCTCGCGCACGATCTTCACGTACGCAAATTCCCCATCCAGGTAAACTACACAATACTGTACACCTCAGTCTTCCAACCCTTCAGCCTCGCTCTCCAGCTAGAATAGTTCTCTCTGACACTGCTCAAATGCGTCCGCTATGGACTCTTACTTGGGTCCCTGAAATGGTCTCCTGCCTCCAGTCTCGTCCCACTGAAATACATACTCCACTCTCTACACTAATGTCAGACTGAACTAAAATGCAATCTTTCCACACTATTCTCCTGTCTAAATACTACAGTGATTTTGTTTTTAATTACTCACAGATAGCACTACAATCTTACCCAAGATAAGAGGTGTTTCATGAACTGAGCCTTCTGCAGGCTTCATCCTCTGCCTCTCTCTCTCAGCCTCCTTCTCTCCTACCACATGGATTTCCTTAAAGTCCTTATGCCACCGTGTTCCCTGGTCTCTCCGTGCCTTTGAATTTGTGCTTCCTTCTGGATGGGGGGCCTAACTTTCTCTTTTTCTCTGATTAGATAATACCTCCATACCTTCCCTTCTCAAATTCAAAACTCATTCTCATTTAACATTGTTCTAGAAGCACTAGCCAATGCAATTAGGTACAAGAAAAAAAAAAGAAGGTTCAAAATTAGCATCCGTAGACATGATTGTATACCTAGAAAATGCAAAAGAATCAACTAAAAGAATGAAGCAAGCATAGAATTCAGTAAGATGGTAGTTACAAAATTAATACACTAAAGTCAAAATGTATTTTTACACAAATGCTAACAAGTTAGAAACTATAATGTCAATAAGTATTCTTTTATCACAGCATAAGAAAATTTTTAAAATGTAAGAAAAGATGTATCAGGACTTGTAAAGAATGTATATAAAGAAAACTTTAAAATTCCACCAGAAAGACAAATCTTTCTTCCCGATAGACCCATTGCAATAGAAGCTCCCGGAGGCATGGGGCCTTTTCTGCTTTGTTCACTAACATACTTGAAGTGTCAAGAGCCCGGCCTGGAATATGACGTTCAGTAATGCCTACTTAATGCATAAAATGCCTGAAACACTCTAACAGCTCAATGTGGTGCCAGTCAAAATACAAATAGGATTATCTGAAGAATCTGAGGAAAAGATCAACCTTCCGACTGAAAAATAAACACGAAGGTAACTTTTCATCTAGTAGATGAGCACAAGTTCAAGTAGTCCGAGATACTGAAGACGTGGAGAACCCTACACCGAAACCGTTAGCGAGACAGCTAAAAATCGGCTTAGTCTTTTAGTGTGCTAATACCTATCAACGTACAAAATGTACATTGTCTTTAGGCGATTTCTCAGCTGGAATTAATTCTATACAGAAATTTACACATTTATGTCCAAACATAAATGAAAGCATGTCCCCTGTATTATTGTTAATGGAAGAAAAATAATAAGAGTGGACAAATGTCGAAGTACTCAGGAACCTCAGCACAGTCTTGAGCCAGGGACCAAGCAATCTATCGTGTCTGGGTCAGTTTCCCCCTTGTTCTCCTGGCAGGGTGTTAGAAACGTTCATTGAAAAAACACATTTAAAGCTCTCAGCACTGTCCCTGGCAGAGTAAGCACTCAAAACATCAGCTATCATTGTGCAGTTGCTTAGAGAACTTGTCGAGAGTTCTAAGCACAGAACTGCGAAAGTCGTCAGGAAGTCCTTGACTTCCGACAAGACCTGTGCCACCCTGTGCATTTCCACCGTACATAAACAAACTGTCTTCCTAAGCACATTTCAAACAAACTAGAAGCCGCTGCTTCAGTATCCCTTAACCTTTGTCGGCAGATCAAAATTAAGCTCTATTATCAGGCCTTAAGCATGCAAAGCACACACCCATTAGAGGCAGCTAGAGTTGAAATAACCCCACCAATGTAACACAGTTTCCTTTCCCCCCTCTTGACAGCTGGGCCATGCCTCACACGGCTAGCGCTGGAGTTCGCTTACCACCGTCGGGGGGTCATTCCATTCTTCGTAGGAGATGGCAGCATACGGATAGATGCGGTCGTTGATAATCTGCAGGGTGGCCAGGGCTATGGCTTTAATCGACTGGAAGTACGCTTCCCAGAACCATCGTGCCTATAAAGAAAACAACGACTTTAAGTGAGCAGGCGAGACAGAGTGGGAGACCTAGATGCTCTATCTCGGTCAGTTCGGGTCCATGGAACTCCCTTGTTCCCAAAGCAGTGGATGCCCAGGGCAATTGCTCCCTGCTGTTTGACCAGCTCTATCAAGAGGTATGCATTCCTCAAATGTAGTCAAAACAGAGTGTCAGCAAGTGAAATGCACACTGGATTCAATTTAGATACTAGAAACAGTGATGATGAAAACAACAGTGTATCAGACCAGAGAAAGTTCAGCCTTTTTTTCTTATAAGATAAAGCATACACGTAGCAAACTACAATTCTCAAGTGTAGGCACCGTGACTTTTTACATATGTGCATATCCTTACAATTACTACCCAGATAAAGTTATAGAACATTCTAGCACCGTAGATGCCCTCATGCCACTTCTCAGTTAGTATCTCACCCCTTTAAGATCAGCCACTATTCTGATCTCTACTGCAATCATTACTGAATTTCATATAAATGAAGTCAGACAGTAATCACTCTCCTGTATCTGAATTCTTTTGCTCAACATCTGTAATATCTAAATCAGGTTTTGGTACAGGGTTATGGTAGTCTCACAGAATAAGTTGGAAACTATTCCTTCTTTTTTGATTCCTTGAGAAATTTTAGGCAAGACCAGCATTCTACCTTCCTTAAAAGATTTTAGAAGATTTCAACAAGGAAGCCATCTGGACCAGGTGTTTTTGTGTGTGTAAAGGTCTTCAATTATGAACTGTCACTCATACACATAGAATTACACATATTTTCTGTGATAGTTTCACAAGTAGTGTTTTTCCAGAAATATATTCCTTTCATCTAAATTGTTGACTTTATTTAAATAAAATTGCACATTAACATTTGCTTGATGCCTAGAAACTGTAGTTAACGTACTTTTCATTCCTGAATCTGCTGATCTGTGTTTTCACTTTGTAATTGATCAGTCTTAGAGATTTATCAATTTTATTCATCTTTTTTGAAAAACCAACTTGTGGTTATATTGATTTTTTTCCATCATACTTTTTTCTATTTTGTTCATTTCTGCTATTATTTTTATTCTCTCTTTACTTCTATTAGTATTTTGGAGGAGCTTAATTAATCTTACTATTAGCTTTTTGAGATTGAAGATTAGTTTACTGACTTCAACCTTTCTTCACTCTCCTCTATAAATTTCCCTCTGCATGCTATTTTTAAATACATCTACACATTTACTATCATTTTTATTATCATTTAGGTAAAAAAACATTTCATTTTCATCATGACATATTTTTTCACTCATAAGTCATTTAGAAATATACTGTTTGATTTTCAAACACTTGGGGATTTTCTATTCGTCTTTCTGTTGCTACTACTGCTTTGATTGTACTTTGTACAATAGTCAGAAAACATACATGATTTCAATACTTTGCAATTTATTTAAACTTGATTTATGATCTGACACACCATTTATTTTTGTAAATAATCCATATGTACTTTGAGTGTGATGTCCTACTTAAATATATGCCCTTATTGATTTCTGATTGCTTCTGTATATATATGCATGTATGCATATGGGTGTGCATATGTATGTATGTATACATGCCTGTGTGTATATATGGCCATCCCTCAGTATCTACAAAAGATTTGTTCCACAATTCTTGTGGATACTGAAATCCATAAATGTTCAAGTCCCTAGTAAAACAGTATATAGTATTTGCACATAACCTATATACATCCTCCAGCATACTTTAAATGATCTCCAGATTACTTACAAGTAATATAAGCATCAGGCACAATTAAAAATAAAATTATATAAACTTTTTCAGTATCTGTCTTTTAGGGAACCAGCTTTTTCTCCATCACATAACAATTGGCATAACCTGGCTTCATTTGCAGTTCGTTGACTCTATGGATACAGAACTTGTGGATACAAAGAGTCAACTCTGTGTTTGTATTTCTCAAACGTTTACTTTCAAATTTGTGCTCTCAAAGCTTGTTCCAAGCTTGTCTCTTGTAAAAAGCCCATAATTAGGTTTAAGAATTTTCTCTCATCCCCAAATCCTTGACTTCTAATTACAAATACAGTCCATTTATATTTAGTGTACATATGCACATACAGGTACTTCTTACTTAATGACCAAGTTCTACACCTACAAGCAGACTGTTAAAATAAATTGGTCAAAGAGCTTAAAGGGGGATGTTGTATGGTATGTCATGATGCCATAGTGTATACATTTTTCAATAGATAGCACCCAACGCCACACTAGAATAATATACAATTCTACCTATATAGGGGCCAGCAGTTAGCATAATGGCTATGTTGCTGAACTCCCATGTAGCCTACTGCGGTTTGAGTCCCCGACCCAGTGGCTTAAACTCACGCCGGGCGCGTGTGCGTGTGTGCCCAAGATCCCAAGAGGAGAATGGAAGAGAAGGGGTTGCGGTGTGGCCATCCCCCCTGGGGGGTGATTTCTTGCTTTCTATCTCTCTGTCTCTCTCTGTCTTTCTGACGAGTGCACTGTGCCCTATTATTGCAAAAACCTCTCCAAAAAAAGAAAAAAATTCTACCTATACAAAAAGCATACATTAGATAAGTGCCAAAAAGTGACAAAACATCCTGCAACACAATACTATAAATCTAACATAATCGTTTTTATTTATTCTACTATGGGTGGCCAATAAAGTACAAATCTGTAAACAAAATATGTAGTCTTGTGTGACACTTTGTGTTGTGAATACAAACGAACTGCAGGCATGACACAAAGACTGAGAAAAGGGGATTCCTGAGACTAACGCAGATTGAGAAAGGGGATTCCCCAGGCTGGAGAACTGGTTATAAATTTGAGCAATCATTAAACATGCAGTTTGTTCAGTGAGGAGTGGTGTACTGATACAGCCGAGTTTAAAGTGTATAATCATTGTTTGTTTACTTTTTGCTTCATCTGTTCTTTATTTCTCCTTTCTCACCTTTAGAACAGGTAAAAAAATTATATTATTCCATGTTTTCCTTCGTTAGTTTGTTGGTTATTTAGTTTTATTATTTTTCACTATCCTAGCAATTAAAGTTAAGCATCATTGATTTATTATACCACAAATCAGTAATTTTACAATTTTACAAACACTGCAAGGATCTCCATTTACAAGCTACCATTTGCTGCTGTGCTATCAGAGTACAATATAATATTCTTCATCCACAAGACATCATTATTGTTTTTAAAAGTATGTTTTTTTATTTATACTGGCCATATATTTACCCTTTCCTTTCTTCATATGCATCTGAACTTATATTTAAAATTACCTTCCTGCTGCTAAAAGAACTCAACATGTTATTTCTTTTGCTATGAGTCACTGGTAACACATTCTCTTAGTTTTTATTTGTTTGAAAGCTTGTTTTCACCCAGTTAATGTTGGAAGAATGTTTTTGCTGTTGAGAGACTCCTACGTTAGCATTTATTGTCTTTCGTAACATTAAACACATAATTCCACTGTCTTCTGACTTCATCCAATTTGTTACTACTGATATTGGTGCACCTTTAAAAATAATATGCCTTTTGGACCAGCAAATGGCATACTGGATACATTGCTAGATTCCCATGTATTCAACTATGGTTTGAGTCCCAAATCCGGCAGCTTGAAACTCACATCAAGTGGATGTGTATGTGTGCCTGAAATCCCAGGACGAGAATGGAGGAGAAGAGACTGCAATGTGGCCATCCCCCCGGCAGGTGACTTCTTGCTTCCTGTCTCTCTGTCTCTCTGTCTCTCTGGCAAGTGCACACACCCTATAGCAAAAATCTCTCTAAAAAACAGTAATAATGATATGCCCCTTACTTTTGACTGCATTTGAGCTTTTCTCTCTATTTGTCTTACTGCAATTCAACTATGATGTTCCCAGATGTGCCTTTTCCACTGGGGAGAGAAGAGTTTTATCAGTCTGGTTTTGATGTTTCACTGATTTCAGAAAACGCTCAGACAACATTCATTAAATACTGCTTCTGTCACACTCTCTTCTTTTTCTGGGACTTCAAATGTATACATATATGAAGAACATTTCGCAATGTATTTACTATGTCTCAGATGTTTCTTATTCTATTTTCTGTATATTCCCTCTGTGTTTCAATCTGGGTGTTTTCTGCTAACATTTCTCTTTGTTCAATAATCCATGTATTGCTTTTATTTTTTTGAGAGGTTTTTGCCTTAGGGTGCATGCACTTGCTGGAGAGAGAAATAGAGATAGACACAGTGAGAGGGAAAG